CGTGCATATGCTGTTCGTTTAAGCGTTCACCAGGGGCATCTTCTTTGCCGTCACAATGAGAACAGAAACCAAACACGGTTGGGGACTCAGATAAATTAAGGAGGACCAGACACAGTGGCTCACATCTGTAATCCCAGCACTTTGGGAGGCCAATGTGGAAAGATTGCTTGAGGTCAGGAGTTCGAGAACAGCCTAGGAAACATAGCGAGATCCCGTCCCTACAAACAGAAAAAGTTAGCCAGGCATGGTGGTGCACACCTGTAGTCCCAGCTACTCGGGAGGCTGAGGCAGGAGGGTTGCTTGACCCAAGAAGTTCAAGGCTACAATGAGCTATGATCATGCCACTGCACTCTGGCCTGGGCTGAACAGAACAAGACCCTGTCTCTCTCTATTAAGAAAAAAAAAAATTAAGGAGGAGCTGAGAAGAAGGTGGTACATACTTGCTAACCCCTCCTCCCCCCAGGAGCCTGTCCAGGCAGGACGATTGGCCTAGTCCTCTCAGATACGAGAGCCTCAGAGTCACAGGCACCTGCTACCTACAAGGGCAGCCTCCTCAGGAGCCAAATGCCAAGGCTGAAGGGAGAAGGGGGCAGGGAGCACATATCTACCAGGGAAAAGACTGCCAAGATGCAAAACAAGCCGAGAAAAGCAAGTAGTGACAACACAGTCAATATGTTGCCGTTTTTCAGGAAAAAAAAAACAAAATTACATTTCCAGAGGCACATATAAACATACGTTAGGCCTGGCGCTGTGGCTCACGCCTATAATCCTAGCACTGTGGGAGGCTGAGGCGGGTGGATCGCTCAAGGTCAGGAGTTCGAGACCAGCCTGAGCAAGACGAGACCCCATCTCTACTAAAAATTAGAAAGAAATGATCTGGACAACTAAAAATATATAGAGAAAAAATTAGCTGGGCACGGTGGTGTGTGCTTGTAGTCTCTGCTACTCGGGAGGCTGAGGCAGGAGGACTGCCTGAGCCCAGGAGTTTGAGGTTGCTGTGAGCTAGGCTGATACCACGGCACTCTAGCCTGGGCAACAGAGCTAGACTCTGTCTCCAATAAAATAAAATAAACATATGTTAAAGCACAGAGCAAGCTAACTACTCGTAGATGTGGAGACGGTTGAGCAAACTACACTAAGATGATACGATGCTATATAAGTATGAAAAATGATCATAAAATCATTTTAAATTTAAAAGTAACACAAAAGAGAATGCAAACTGATTCCACCTGTGTAAAAATGTACGCATGCACATACGTGAGAGAAGACAGACCTACATGGAGTGAGGGCTGGTATTACCATAATTTAAAGCCTACTCAAACAACATAAGCGAATGGGGGAAATGATTTATATTTCAGTATTTGAAAGACACGGCATAATTGCTTTTCTTTAGGGAAAAAAAGTGAAAAGACTAGAATGATACCCACTAAACTGATGACAATGCTTCACTGGTTGGTCTGGGGAGAAGAGAACAGGGAATTATTTTGATATTATTGAGATCTGGGGAGAAGAGAAGAGGGAATTATTTTAATTATTTCATATAAAATTATTTCAAAAATTTTTCATAATGATTTTTTTTAATTGTATTAATGTGACACTAATATGACCAATAAGAAAGACAAGGGGCCTTGGGGCACACACACGACCCTCCTTCCCTCAACCCTACTCCAGAAAAATCACTGCTTTAAACTGAAGGTAAAGGCGTCCCCAGCTACTACGCCTGATAACTTCATACAGAAACGCAACCCAAAGACCGCAACAACGTATCTCCAAACAGCTGTTCAAGGTCCTTCCTGTTTCTCCCTAGGGCCATCCTAAGTGGGGTGTTGGCTCGGGCTGACCCTAAGAGCATTTCCCGTCATCCAACCCCTCCCCAGGCTCTTCCCAGGCCTAGCAGGTTGGACTTTTCTTGCCTAACCCCCTGCCCCTCTCCCCTTTCATTAAGATACCACCTGGCAGAGTCTCTGTGAATCCCTGTCAGTTCATTTGCCGTTAACAGTCACTGCACAAGCCTTCTCCACTCTATTCCCAGATAAATACAGAAAATAAATACCCTGTTCGGAGAGGAACTTGATGCATCTGAAGTTAACAGAGCCACAGTGGTTTCAACCTGCCAGGCTGTTATGAGTAAAGCCCTTTCCATGAGCAATATTTTGCTTTGGCTCCAACAGGGAGACAAATAAACCTGAAAGGCTGAACAGAAATGAGTTAAAGAACATAGTCGGTTGTTAACCGTTTCCTTCCCACTAACCCAGGAGTTTTGCTGCCCTTCGTGTCCTGAATGAATAACCACGGGCACTGCTGCGGAATACCTCAAACCACATTTCTGCCCTTCCTGGACTTCCAGTTGAAATAACTGAGGCTGACGCACTTCCTTTTGCCCTATCAAACTCCAAGCAGAAAGGTCCCCAGGGAACAGAGAGAAGATGCTGGAGTTTCCTGCCGTGCATCCTGGGGCCTGTTCCGAAGGGTGAGAGCCCCTCGGTCAGAACTACAGCCAAAGCCTTTTGCCCCACCTACTTCGTTCTACTCCTGGGCCACCTGCTGAACAGTGGGGCTTTGTCGTAAGGTGGGATGACCTGGGAACTGAAAAGATCTAGAACTAAATTTACTCACAGCCTCAAAAGCCACTGGTTTGTGAATTCCAAGAGCAGCAAGCATCCTGAAAACAAATTCAAACCACCCCCCATAGAAGACTATATTCCCCGAGGGTGCTCAATCCATGCTGGATAACTGTGAGGACTCGGGATCAAAACCCATTAACTCAGACTCCACAAAGCATCTTCCATAGGTCCGAGCTGCCACCCTTTTTGGGTTTGGGAAGCAAACGAATAGTGAAACCAAAAGAAACCTTTAGCCGGCCTCAGAGTGAAGGTCCACAGACTGTTTCCAAGCACGACTCTTTCAACATTTGTATGCAATGACTGTAGCGATTATAAATAATTCTCGGCTATTTATAAGACCTTCTAAGACAAACTGCCCTTCTCACATCAACGGCAAGAATTAATTTCTTTTAAAATGCCCTAGAAACAGATGTTTACTGTCAGGCCGATCTTTCTGCCAGCCAATGAGGTTCTGGGCATTACTGGCGACTCTGCCCCTTTCTGATACCTTCCGTCCCCCTCCCCAGACATTCACCCACCACTCCCCACCTCCAAACCATTGCTGATTTTCTGTAGAGAATATCCAGAACTTTCCTCTGGGACCTTTTCCATACTCAAAGCACATTATTAGAACATGAACCAAAAGGTTAAAAGAAAAAAAAAAAAGTACTGCTGCATAGTACAAATTGACCCGTGACTATTTACACTGCCCAGAGAAAACCCCTACACTCAGACAGCTGATCAAATACACCCGACACCACCCTGCCTCCCCAGCACCAGTAATAATGACCCACATGACGGCACAGCGCCCTCCACAAGAGACTGTCTTAGAAGCCCAGCTGGGCCCAGGTGGGACGGGTACATGAGCCCCGGCAGGGACTGGGCAGAGCCGCCCAGCCAGGCTTTGCCTACTGCTCAGGAGTTAAGGCCACTGCCTACCAAATCTTCCCATCGGGGTGAACAAAATACACTCCGACAGCAAGTTCACACATAACGGGGGGACCGGAGAACAGAATACGGCAGCCACCACTGAGGGCCTCCGCAGCTGCTGCTGCGCAGGTATATTCAACAGCAAGGAAGCCAGATGCTCGCGGTCAGAAACAGACACTGCCATTCAATCTTTGGATGACAAAAAATGACACAGTCTTTCCTTTACAATGATATCAAAACTGTCCATCCAACATCACATCCAGTTATCTGGTCCAAGGGTAGTCCCTCCACAACACAAGGAATCAGTGTCTCACTAGCCCCAGGGCCCAGAGGCCAAGTTCCTAGGATTCTTCCTTCTTCTCCAGTTGGGAAATTTAAGGCGAGACAGAAGGCAGAAAGGCAGGGCAGAGAACTTCGACCTACCTCCCGGGGTACATGTGTGTTGACTGCAGTGAGCCTGACTTAACCCTAACTCACCAGGAGCCAACAGAAGAAATGGACTTTGACCCCCTCTCCCCATCTATTAATAGTTCTTCCTGTACACTTCCCCTTTCTGGGTGAGTACGGAATTCAAGCTCCAGCTCGGGGGTGCTTCTGCCCACTTCTAGGACTTGCTGGGGCACAGCGTCTGGCAAGGCTGCCGTGTCTGCCCCACGCTGTGATCAGCACGGACCCCCTTCCTCTCCTGACAACAGTGCATGCAGGTAACAGGTTTCAGCCAATGGCTTGTGGTTCCCATCGCGTGGCCTGGCCTTGGCGCTCTCTGCTCAGCAATCACAGCCATGCAGCAAGTCCGTGCTCATTCCCAAACCCAACTCACCAGCCCTATGTCAGCGAAAAACCCTAAAATCTCTGGCCGACCCCTAATTCCGGTGCCTCTTTAGATTTTTAAATTTTTACTTAACAGTCCCTCAAGGGACTTATCCTCAAATTATCAGAAGGAAAACTGGAGCTCAGGGACACAACCAGTAAACAACGGACATGAACTCGAACCTGGACCCCTGCTGCCAGACTCCACCTCATCTGCCTGCCAGCCCTTGCTGACGCCATGCCTGGCAAAGGTCTGATGCTACAGCTGGGTGGGCTGTCATCTCCCTGATGACATCGAAAGCTCAGTAAGGGCCAAGACCACAGTCATGGTCACTCGCTTCTCCCAGCGTCTAGGTCCTCGCATACATACAGGGCCACCACAGTGCATTACCTGCACTCTAAATTTTTAATGAAATCTGACATTTGAAGTCTGAACTTACCAAAATGTAAATAAGGGAGTGATTAGTCATATCACCAAGAGATTATTTTCTTCAAGGAAGAAATCACCATTCAATTCCTCTAATGCCTTGTGATCTGTTTAGGTGCCATTGACTACTTAGAGATATTAACGGGTACATCAAGTTTGAACAGAAATGAGTCCATGGCACAGGGCTGGACGTATCCCGACGCGACAGCCCACAGTAGCCTGGTACTCACCAGGTGCGGCATCAGGAGGTCAGCCAGGTAGACGAAAGCAGCTCCGAGGGTGAAGCCGACAGCCACTGGGAAGAAGGCAAAGGCGCCAAAGCCCCCCGAGGACGTGGCCATCTCAACCGCTGGGGCCAGGAGAGACCAATAGGAAGCTGCTAACATGACCTAGAAAAACCACAATGAGCAAGAAACCATTAAACCAATCACAGAAGACCTTCCAAGCGGGACCTCAGTTGCTCTCTATGGCTCAGACAGAACCCTACAATTTCATATGAGTTAGGCCTTTAATCTCAAGTGGTAAGTGTTATCCCAAGGCAAAAAGCTACCCCCAGAATTCCTGGAACTACTGTTGTAGGAACTCAATTTGGACTAGGATAGAGCTGACCTTGGAAGGATGCTGTCATCTAGCCTATAATTCAGTGGTTCTCAACCAGGGACGATTTTGCCCCCCCAGGACATCTGGCAATGTCTGGAGACATTTTTAGTTGTCACACCGGGAGCAGGCTAGGGAGAGGTTGCTACTGGCATCTAGTGAGTAGAGGCCAAGAGTGTCAGTAAACATCCTACAACGCACAGCACGCCCCTGACAACAAAGAATTATCTGGCCTTAAATGTCAGTACTAACACGGAAAAATCCTGTTCTAATTGATTACTTCCAAGACAAATCGCTATTTCATGAGCTCCACTGCAGTGTAACAAAGCTCTAATTATTACAAAGTCCTTCCTTATGTTGAGCTGAAATCTGTCTCCCTTCCATTTGTACCTATTTCTTATCTCTAAAATTTATTGATCATCTACTATTTTCCAGGGACTAAGCTTTACATTTGATATCTTATTTTATCATCACAATAACTCCAAGAGACAGAGGGTGTTTTTCTATTGTTATCTGTAAAGAATTCGAATCTCAAGGTCACATAGGCAGTAAGTGGCAGATCCAGGGAACTGACCAAGCAAGGCCATAACTAACTCGATGAGGGGAGAAACATGAAGGAGAAGAGAAAAAAATGAGGCTGGTCTCCAATCTCAGCAAGACCAATTTGATAAAAGGTTCTCCAGCACAGGCCAAATGAAACACTCATCCATGGCTTGTTTACTCTTATAGATGCCGTGACGTCTTTTGGCTAGAGTACACCTACCACCATCGTAACTACATGACAGTCATCACCAATGCGGGAAATGCTGAATGGGTGTCTAAAAATTACTTAATTATGCCTTGCCTTAGAAAAAAAAAATCATCTGCATCACCCATCTCCAAAATGACATTCGGAGTGACAGAACCAGGTATTACAACAGCAACAACAAAGACCAAATCCACGCATTGCCTTCTGCCCCCAGCCATCATTCACACAGTCACTTGCCCTGGGCCAAATTCTCCCAGTAAAACTGTACCCGCTTCAGCAACTCCCAGTAAGAATAAAAATGTCTCGACTAAATAGGATGGGAGCTGAAGTTGGCCAGTTCAACTCCATGAGCCCGGCTGTCGGAAAAGATCAAGTCTGAGGGCTCCTCCTCCCTGCCACAGCCTCACCCATCCCTTTCCCAGACTTTGCCTCACTAGCTTTAGAATGCAATGGCCTACGGAGCTGCCATGCCTGGTGCACTCCCCACCAGGGAGGACCTGCACAGAGGCACAGAGATGGAGAAGTCCCTGTTCCTCTTTCTGCCCAGCAACCTCTCTCCTCGCATTTTCAGAGTCTCCCACGACGTCCTACTTTCAACAACTCTAAAACCGCATGATCCAGGTAAACCCACTCATCTCACCGTCTAAACACTCCCCACCCTCCCATCCTGTGATGAGGAAACACACATCGTTGTGAGCATCACTCGCGGTTCCGCAGCCTCTCCCTCATCTCCTTCCCAGCACAAAGTCCAACCTCTTCAGGCACAATTCCCTTCCATCCCTCTGCTTCACTGAAGGATCCAGCCCCTACACATGAGAAACACAGAGAGTTCTCGCAGACAAGTTACTCCAGGCAGGGCAGGAGAGATGTGTCTCTCAAGGGAGGGCGTGTTGGAATCCGGGGTGTTTGCAAGGCAAAAGCATCTCCAGTGATTTAGGTGGGCCCCTCCTTGAGAATCGCTGTTCTTTAACCTTCCCCTCAGATCCAGGACCCAGGTCGATTTCTTTCATTTCCTCTCCTTGACAGCCTCCCAGCCTCCTACATAAACTAGAAAATGACCAAGAACAGACTGGAAACAGAATTGGGTTACCCAATATGATGGTAGGGCCCAGAGGAAAGTTATTTACAGAGCACGTGTGGGAGAAAAGACGACCCTGTCCTAATGCTCACAGCCCGCGAATATTTCACCTTCCACAGCCAAAGGGACTCCGCAGATGTGATTAAATTAAGGACTGTGAGACGGGGGGTGATCCTGGATCAGCTGAGTGGGGCCGACGTAATCACAAGTGTCCTTATGAGCGAATGAGAAGGGTCAGAGTTGGACAGAAGATGTGATGGCAAAAACAGACGTTGCAGAAAGACACACTGGAAGGTTGCCATGCTGCTGGCTTGGAGATGGAGAAAATGTCACGAGGAATGTCACCAAGGAATGCAGGTGGCCCTACATGCTGGAAAGACAAGGAAACAGATTCTCCTGCAGACCTGCAGCAGGAACACGGCCCTGCTGCCACCTTGGTCTGATCTCAGTTAAAACCATTGTGGGCATCTGACCCCCAGCACTGTAAGAGAGTAAGTCCATGCCGTTTCAAGCCACTACGTTTGTGGCAGTTTGTTACAGCAGCAAATGGAAACTAACGCACCATGTAAAGGCTTATGTTACTTTTTTAAAAAAACTTTGTTTTTTAAAGCACTTTTAGGTTCACAGCAAAATTGAGTAGAAAGTACACAGAATTTGTCACATACCCCCAGTTCCCACATACACACACCTTGCCCACTATCAACACCTCATACCAGTGGTACATTTAATACAAATGATGAACCCACCCTGCCATTCACACAGCATCATAACTCAAGCCCACAGCTTACATCAGGACCTACTCTTGGCACTGTACACTCTATGCGTCTTGGCCAATATATAACGACAGTTATTCACTGTTACAGCATCATACAGAATAGTTTCACTGCCCTGAAAATCCCCTGTGCTCCACCTACAAATCCCTCCCTTCCCCCAACTCCCAGAAACCCCTTTTCACTGTCTCCAAAGTCTTGCCTTTTCCAGAATATATCACACAGTTGCAATCATGCAGCACGCAGCCCTTTCAGACTGGCTTCTTTCACTCAGCAATATGCATTTAAGTTCCTCCGAGACCTTTTCATGACTCGATAGCACATGTCTTCTGAAAGCTGAACAACATACCACTGTCTGGATGTACCACAATTTATTTATCCGTTCACCTACTGAACGGCAACTTGCCCACTTCCAAGTTTTGGCAATTATGTACAAAGCTGCTACAAACATCCATGTGCAGGGTTTTGTGCAGCCAGAAGTTTTTCATTTGGGTAAATAAATGCCAAAGAGTGTGACTGTTGGCTCCTATGGTAAGCGTTACTTTTTTAACAATCCCCCAACATAAGTGGGTTGCCTGAAACTCTCAACACCAGCAAAGCTCCTGTAAGTGTTAGGCATTTTAAAAAAACCTAAGTGTCAGGATATATTAGCCAGCTGACAGAGAAGCAGGAAGCAGAGCATCTGATGAACCCTTAACCACCACTAAGAAGCAGGGTCTGGATGGAGAGAGAACGCTGGGACCTGGACTTCAGGGAATGGGCTCCCAGGGCAAGTCTCCCAGCCAGTCCCTTCATGACCCCAGACAGTAGATAGCAAAGGTCCTCCTGCACCTGCAACCCTGCTTGTAAAGGCCAACACCTGGGCTTGCAGGGCCATCCCTGAAGACACTACGAGGAGCTGACGGTCAGTACCTTCCTCTCCCTGCCTTTGTCCAGGAAAGGAACGCATAACCAGGTTTCAACACACATGGCAGAGGCCACTCTGCACCCCCAAAATCCTTTTTGCCTCTTTATTCCCAAAATGAAAACGAAAGGCCCAATCAATCGCATGACATCACAGGGCAAAGCCTGTGTAGGGACCATCCTCCAAGCTAAATGTTGCTGAAACCTAAGCAGCCCCTATGTTTTTGCTAAATAATGGAAGAAGCTCAAGGGAGTGAGTATTTCAGTAACAACAACAGAAAACTCCTGCAAAAGAGCTAAGGAAGAAAGGAACAACTACAACAGAAAAATGGACTGCATGTCTAACTTCAGCCTTTGGCTGGTTTGGTAGGCCTACCGCAGGGCTCAGAAACCCAAATGTTGAACAGAGAAATTCTCAGGCAAGCGGATGTTTGAGAAGCAAGGTATAATTTCTTCACTTCTTCCCAGGCCCAAGGTTGAATCTCACTTTAGCTCTCTTCTTCACACACTTCCTCGAGTCTCAGCCACTACCATGATTTCGACTTCCATCTCTACACGGGCAAGTGAATGAATGAATGACTTAATTAAAAAGTTGATCTTGATCTTGTTCACAATTGCCAAAAGATGGAAATAGCCCACATGTCCACCAACGGGTGGATGGAGAAACAGTCCACGAAGAAGCCACAAAAAGGAATGAAGTCCTGATGCATGCTACGACACGGATGAACCTTAAAAACATGACACTAAGAGAAAGAAGCCAGACACCAAAGGTTGCATATCGTCTGGTTCCATATATATGAAATCTCTAGACCAGGTAAGTCCTAGAGAGAGATTGCAGAAGGGTGGCTGGCAGGACCGATGGCAGGGGTGAAAAGAAAGTGCTTAATGGGCACAGGTCTCCTTCGAGTGTGATGAAAATATTTGGAAGTAGACAAGGTAATGGCTGCACAACATTCTGAATGCCACTGAGATGTATACTTTAAAATGGTTTATGTTACGTGAATTTTACCTCAATTCAGGAAAAGAAAAAAAGGCTAAGGTTGGCCTAACCAACCACCAGGGACCCCGCCTGTACTGTGGCCCCCACTGTGTGCTGAACTCTGCAGCGCCCTTGCGTTGGCCCAGGCACCTCCATCTGTGACAATGCCAAAGGCCAAGGCCCACCTCATGCGCCCTTTCTCCCAAGCATACTCAACCCCTTGCCCGAGTCCATGTTTATCATGGGAAAATGCAGGATTTAGCATTGGGTATGAGTTTGAACCCTGGCTCTGCCTCTTACCGGTTAGGCAGCCC